GAACGTGGGCATGGTCGGTCAGAAAAATAACTGCTGGAGGAAAAAACCCTGAAATTTGTGGATCTGGATCTCTAAGATATTCAGTATATTGTTCCAGAAAGCCATTAGGAAGTTAAGATTCTTTTTGTGATCATACTATGTTCACAAGTTGGCAAATTATTCCTGGAATTTGATCTTCAAACTTCCTCCGTGGTGCTTGTTTTCATAGCTCTGCTCTGTAAACCAAGTCTGTTGCTGCTACGTGAGTTAACTGAGCACACGGGGTGATGGCCGCACGAGACGCCCCGCTCAGATTCAGTCCTCTCACTGAGATGTTCAGAGTTTAACAGGCTTGGCTGAAGCCACACAGATTATACTAAAGCTACATGAGTAGATTTCATAAATATTATATGATTCATCCAGGTCAATTTATACAAAGAAAACATTTCTAAACAACTTTTGAACCCTCACATTTCCACAATTTTTTAAAGGTATTAAAGAAGAGGGCTTTTGATAACCGTCTGGGAAATGTCAACCTGGAAAATTCATCGGAACATAGTGTAAGAAGCTAAGGGATTTATTCCAGCTAAAACAATTATTTGAAAAACATTTGATGGATAAATACATTTTTATATAAATGTATCTTGACCAACTGAAGTTTCAATCTTATTGATAGCTACACTAACAATAAATAACATTTACTGTCTTTTAAATGTTTGATGAATGGTAATTTACTCAGTCCACACAATACCATATGCCTTGGTCCCATTGCTTCCTAATCCCATTTTGCTGATTAGGAAACTGAGGCAAGGAGAGACAATAGCTTTGTCCACAATCACACTATTTGTGAATGGTGCAGCTGAAGCTTGAACACTGGCAGTTTAGCTCCAAAGCCTACGTTCTTAACCACTGTACCAGGCTACCAGTTCCCACCTGGTGAAGCAACTTGCCTATCAATATACATACATCCCTAATAAGTGGTAAAGCCAGAATTTTATCCAGGTCTAATCTCATTTAGGCTCCATGCTCTTTCCCATCCTGCACTATGCTGTCTCTCAGTTTACCGTACTTAAACTTGCACTTTCATCAGCAGACACCAGCAGGAGGCAGTGGAGGAAGTCTGGTGCAGTAGATGCTGCAGAAGCAGTACAGGAAAAGGAATCTGAACCACCAGCCCACTGGCCCCAGCACAAACTCTCAGGGTTCACTAGAGGGTGTTGGCTCTTCTAGGTCACCCCTAGCTTGTGTGCTGCGCTCTGCTCCTCTCTCTTCATTCTCAGGAGGTGGTGTGGTTGATGGAAGAGGTGCTAGACTGGGGAGTGAGAGGCTGGGCTCCAGTCTCAGAGCAGCCTCAGCCTGGCAGTGCCACGGACTCCCTTAATCCCCTCAACTGCGCCAGTGAGCAGGACCCTTAGTTTACAGGTGAGTGAACTGGGATTCAGAGAGTTAAGTCTAATTCCATCAAGGTCACAAAAGATGTTATTCTGCTTAGGCCTCCCTGAATGCAAAATCTTCCTGTATACTTGACCATGTGCCTGTAAAGTCACTTAAATCCTCTAAATCTTAGATTCTTCAAATATAAAACAAGGTAATTGTTCTAAGTCAGTTCTCTCTCTGCAGTGGAGCCCTAGGGGTTCTTCAAAGGTGCCTTAGAAGTCATGTTGGGAAGGAAGTCCAAGAAGACAGGGCCAAGAGAGCCAAAGGCACACACATACACACTCTCACTCACCCGTCCCCCCCCCCACATACACCAACCCCAACATACACACACAGCAGTGCAACGCCACTTTGGCCGTATAATTCTGGCTTTCCACTTTTAGATTAAAGGGGGGATCCTGCTGCTAAAAGAAGTTTGGTGAACACTCTACCCAGTGATCTTCAAGGCCCCTCCTAGCTTTAATACCTAGGAGAGCATCAGCATTGTAAAAGGACAATGACCGTCGTTAAGGAAGCCAGTCAGAGGAAACATCTGATTCACCTGCGTGGCTCAGTCCAGAAATCATCAGACGTCCTTAAAGAACAAGCTGGTCCCTGGCTGGTGTGGCTCAGTGGATCAAGTGCTGGCCTGTGAACCAAAGTGTCTCCCTACTTTGAGAGAGTAGGGAGAGTTTCTCCCTCTCTTTCTCCCTCCCTTCCCCTCTCTCTAAAAATAAATAAATAAAATCTCGAAAGACAATGCCATAGCCAAACTTCTGCTGATCTAGGCACGACTTGAGAGAGTGTTGTGATTGTGTGTGTGTGAAGATGGCCTTCAACCCATGGCTAGTCAGTGAGAAACACATTTCTTCCTGTGTGGTCACCAGTCCTTGAGGGTTTCAGCTGGTCAGGAATATAAGGGATGGAGTTTGATTCAAATCACTTGAATCAAACAAGTGATTTGTTTGATTCAAAGTCATTGTTTTTTTCTCTTTCTATTTTATCTCACCTCCTCTTCTTTTCCCCCCTGTCCTCTTTCAACCCCATCTCTCTCCTCTGGCCCCAAACCAGGCGGTAGATAGGAAAGGAGTAGTCTTTGTTGGTGAGGAGTGATTTCATTTACTCTTTTTTTAAAAAATATTTATTTATTTATTTGTTTTTTGAGAGAGGGGAAGGGAAGGAGGAAGAGTGGGAGAGAAACATCAATGTATGGTTGCCTCTCATGCATCCCCTGCTGGGAACTGGCCTGCAACCCAGGCATGTCCCCTGACTGGGAATCGAACCTCGATACTCTGGTTCGCAGGCCCTTGTCATTTACTCTTTTTTCTCACTTGTAACCCTACACAGAGCAAACACTAGGGCTCAGATGGGCCCAGTCGGGTAGGCAACGCAGGGAAAGCCAAGTTTTCTCTTCCCGTCCCTTACAGCTCATTCCCTTTCACTAACAGTTACACATGTAGGAAAGAATAGAGCCCAGGGAAGGCAAATGTTAATTATGGTGATGGTGGTCACACCTTAAAAAAAAAACAACAACTGATGGATACTTTACATTCCCTAAAATTCACACATTTAAATATACAGTTCAGTGGTTTTCAGTAAATATAGTGTTGCATAACCATCACCATAATTTCACTTTAGAACATTTTCATACCCAAAAATATCGCTCAGGCTCATTTGCAGTCACTTCCTGTTCCCACCCCCAGCCCTAGGCAACCCCTCACCTACTTCTGTTTCTTACAGATTTGCTTCCTCTGAGCATCTCCCATAAATCCTATAATATGTGGTATTTTGTGAGTGGCTTCTTTCATTTAGCATGCTTTTTTTGTGAGTTTCATCCATAAGTTGTTAGTGTGTCTCAGTACTTCGTTCCTTTTTACATAACACTTTTTTGAATGGCAGCATTATGTAGAGGAAAGATCATGAATTTCAGGAGCATGCAAAGGTAGGGCTGAAGCAAAGTTGTGCCGATTGTTAAGTTGGATTATGCCACAAATAATGGGCTCTCGAAAAATCCAGACTTTCTATACATTCCCCAAAACGTTTGCTTTACTTACCTAATATGCTTCAAATTTTAAAATGAATCTTACAGCCTCTCTACCAGCCTTCATTTCAAGTCTGAAACGAGAGCCCACATGACTGGCAGCGTCAGGAATGGAAGCAATTCTGCTAAGGGAACTGAATCCTTCATTAATGGAGCCCAGATGGTGAGAGCTAAAGGGATTTCCTCCAGTTACATTGCTGTCATTTTTTAGAAAGGTTAAACTGTATTTAATTATTATTTTAAGGTGGAAACCATTGCAAATTCTATTCTAGAATATTTTATCAAGTTGGCCTTAGCTTTGCGAGGCTCTAAGTACAATATATTTTCCCATTAATTCTTATAAAACTGCCCCTGATAACATCAACCCTCAGGTAACAGGTGTGCCAGCAGGGAGCAAAGGGCTGCAAACCCCCTGAGTAAAAAAAATCCACCTCAGATCCTCAAAACTCAACTCTTAGCCATTAGTTTCAGGATCTTTATTTCCTAAGCCTTTAGAGGAACCTGGGTCACATACATGGTAAAATAGAATAAATCGAACACCTTATTCATTTTGGCAGTCTGCTTTCTCTGATTAGGATGTGTCCTCAATTTGCATGACAATTTAAAGGGACCATGGATATAACCCTATTGGACACTATTGGCACAAAATTTACTCCTTAGCCCTAAGCATAAAATAATCTGTTTTAAACCTGTTTTTCCTTCTAAATCATTGTTTCTGTAATCATTTTAATCCATCACTATTCCCCTTTCTGTTTCTGACTTTTTCTCCATTCTTGTCTGATATATATTATAGCTGCCTTTCTTCCCTCAGTGCCCCAAACAATTTCCCTCCGCCTTCTAGACTCACTTCCTGCTAAGTACAGTATAACAGTTAAAACAGAAAAGGATAACACTTCTCAATATTTCTACTGAATAAAATAGGTTTGTAATATTTTATTTCTCACTCACTTCAAGATTAGTAAAGTGTATCTATTTTTATCATAGAAAATGCCTGTTTTCAAATGTAAACTAGTTATTAAAAGAGGTAACCTATGGCTTCCTAATCTTTATAATCTCAATAATAGTCACTATGCGTAATGCTGGCATTAAATATTATGCTATGTGTCAATTACTTGTGACAATCACTCTCCCTCCCCCAAAGGCACATACACACAAAAATACAAAAACAAGAATAAACTTCCCTTTTGCATATTACAGCAAACTGGAGAGTAAATTAGATCCAAGGCTTCATTTTAGGGGTTTTATTTTATGTGGTATCACCAGAATTTATCTCATGGTATAAATCGTTTAGTAAATCTGGGATTTATGAAAGATTTTCCCTCATCTGAACAGGGCTTTTGTGCAGATGTTTAGCAGCAGATGACAAAATAATCTTAAGGCATGATGATTTATACTACCCTTGGTGTAGCTTTGGCCCATAGTTTGTTTAGAGAACCCTGATGTCAGGATGATTGGTTAAAATCCCGAATTAGCAGAGTTCACCTATGAGGCCTCGGCCACCAAAATATCTGTCAGTATGCACGCATGCCGTGTGAATAACCACCTAACGCCAAAAGTCTCCTACCCTGAGATGGCTGCAAGTTTTTGGTGCGCCTGACGGGCCATTTCACAGCCTTTGGTTCTTGTCTTGTGCATTTCCGTCCGGAGTGAGGGGCAGCTGACTGAGACGTCCCCAATAGAAATCACCAACTCTCGGAACAGGGCCACTTGCGTGTTGAACTCTTGGACAAGCTGGAAAAGAAGGGAGTTTCTTTCAAGAAACAGTCACCAGAAAATTCCCTATTTGGGGGTACATAAACAAGGGCTTCACTGACACTGGAGCACCCCCCTGCCCCCGCGCCCAACCTCTAGCTTAAAAGTCTACAAATTATTTAAAGATTAAGGCACAAAGAGGGTCAATTCTCTTTTTCATAAGCAAGTGGTTTTTTTCTCCCTCCCATCGGTGAGTCCGGCCATGGAAGCTCTGTTTCAAGACCTACTCGCCGCCACCCGTGCAGACTCGGTTTCTGAAGACCAGGAAAGCACCTTCGGAGCGTTACCATTGCCACTCCCAGGTCACCGGGAGCGATTCTGGGGACTCTCCCCTGGAACTCTCCGGTCTCTGACAGCTAGGATACGAATTGGAAGTTGCGTGGGGGTAAAGGCCAAAGGCGGGTTGTAGCAGGCAAACTGTTCACCTTCTGCGGGGCCACGGAACTACTCAGACTCCAGAGCCTGATGGGAAGACCTGCCACAGCTTCTGAGATGGAACCTTCGTTCCCTCCGCATCGCCTCGCACGCTCTGTTTGGGTTTGTTTTCTACTGTCTCCCCACAAAGCGGCACCCCCACCTCGCTGTCCTTTCCCTCCCTGGTGAGCAAGCCAGTTCACGGCGTCTTCCGTATCCACCATTCTCAGAGGGGTTAGAGGCACGGCCCCAAGATTCTTGCCCGTGGCACTTCTTTGAGGGGCCATTACCACCACACGGGTGTCACCCCCAATCTGGAGGACTGCAGATTTAAAAATAGTGCTTGTGCACGTGATCGGCATGGGAGCGCTAAGGGTGGGGGAGTGGCTGGCACTCAAACAAATGATTAACATACACAATTCCCCCACCTCCTCTCCCTCCAAAAAAAAAAAAAAAAGGCGTAGTTTTCACCTACCATCTTGCAGTCGTCCAGGGTTCGCTGTGTTTTGTGGGCGCAATCGGAGCCACTGCCCCTGCGTTCCCACTCCCCGCTCTGCAGCTGGGGCTTGCTGAGCTGAAAGATCGAGGAGCGGGTGGACCGGCTGGGGCGCTTTTTGCGCCCATTCGGTGCAGAACTCATGCATACACATCCACGAAGCCGAAGCCACTGGTGCAGTGCGCCCCAGCTCGGGCGGCCCAGTCGTTGCCCTGCTCGCTGCCGCTGAGCAGCCGGAGCGAGAACCAGAGGCGCGGCACTCACAGGGTTGGGGCTGGCTGCGCGGGTGGATAACCTTCAGCTTGAAGGAGAGCCAGGGAAGCGCTGGCTGTGCGGTGCAGCATCGCTTCAACTAGCAGCGAGGAAGAGGCTCAGTCAAGTTCTGCTCAGCAGCATTGCCGACCCTGTCCCGGGAGCTGAGCACTGGCGCTGGCTCGCACCACCTTCCCCTCGGCATAGATTGCAAGGCTGGACGAGAAGGAACGCGCCTCCCCGCGGTTCCGAGTTTCCATTCAGATGGGGGAGCAGCTTTCAAAGCTTGTGCTGCAAGGTGGGGGGCGAGGGGAGGGGGGCGAGTGTAGCTCTTGCTTCAGTGTCTTCCCGCAGAGGAGCTGGGCTCGTCTTTCCCCTCCCTCCCCTGTCGCCAGGCCTGGAAGGGCTGGCAGTCCCCGAAGCAGGCAATTGGCTCTAATCTGCTGCCTTGATCCCTTGTCTCTATGGGCTCCTCTGTTCGAGGATCCCAAACGAATCTGTGGCGGGACTGGCGGACGCAGGGAATCGGTCCGCTGACGTTCTTCGCGGCCCAGCACATTGATAGGACCGGAATACTAATGTGATCCATCCATACAACCCTCTTCCCCCTACACAGTTTATGTACTTACCCAATCAAATCCCCGGGAACATCAATGGCAATATTACTTCATCAGCTCTATTATTAGAAATGAAAAGTGTCACCAGAGTGGAGCACATTGTCACATGCTGGGATCTAAACAGGGATTTCAAATCAACTAGTGTGGGCTTGAGGCCTCACTGTCTGAGGGGCCTTGGGCCACAGGCTATCAAAGCCCAAACCTAGGAGGGGTGGGGTTTTTACTCAAAAGAAAGATGTCTTGATAACATCATAGGAAACCTGTGTTTCCCTGGGTTTTGTTCTTGGGGTGGTGTTTTGCTTTTTGTTTTTGAGAAGGGGGACAGGAAGCCAGCAGGGCAGAGTGCACTGAGACCATCAGTCAAACTGGACTTCATCTCATCCCGTTTTAAGTAGTAAAGTTTTGGTTTTGCATTCTAGAGTCTCAAGACCCCCTGCGCTGAGAGTTTCCCTACAGAGACATGCACAAGTGAGAGCCAACAGGCCTCCCTGGCCACTCAGAACGACCCCCTTCTCCTTCGTGGGACATCAGTAACACAGAGGTCTACGGAGTGGGCCCCCAAAGTGGAAAGGATGCCTGCATGAAAGAGGGTGGGAGTGAGTTCCTGGACCATTTAAGTCCATCCTTACCATGTGCAGCTTGAGTTTCTTCAGGGAGGAAGAGAAATGAAGTGAGCATTCAATCCCAATGCTCTGAGAATGCTGGTTTCTGGGGCAGCTCTGGAGGGGACAGATGAAGAAGTCTGCCACAGGGGAACTAATGATGTGTTGAGAAGCCTAGTGAAGAACTAACAGAGCTTCCTGATCAAGTTCATAGGGGGATATGAAGAGTATTGATAGGGATAGGGAGAGCCAAATACAGCCAGGAAGGCTATCACCTTAAGGAGATGTTAGATTTTTTTTTTTTTACAAGTCAGGTAAAAATAATGGGATGGTATGATATAATAAGAAACATACTTGGTGTTTGTCCCAGTTCCTCACACAGGGCTCCTAAAACCCTTGGGCCTTCATACATCATAAGGGTGGTAAGCAAGTCTCTTGTCACCAGAAAGACCAAGTCCAACCCCTCTCCCCCTCAACTTCTGGGGAAAGAGAGAGGCTGGAGATGATTTAATTGTGAAAATCTACAATGAGATCTTCATAAAAACCCCTAATTGATGGGGTTTGGGGAGCTTCTGGTTGAAGACATGGAGTCTCGGGGGAGGTTTGCCCAGACAGGGCACGGAAACTTGTGTCCCTCTTTCCATACCTTGCCCTACGCCTCTCTCCCATTTGGCTGTTCCTGAGTTGTATTCTTTATAATAACAGGTAAAGAGAGTGCTTTTCCAAGTTTGGTTAGTCATTCTAGTAAATGATCGAATCTGAAGGGTGGAGTGTGTTGGAATCCCTGAATTTATAGCCAGGTCAAATGGAAGTGTGGGTAACCTGGGGACTGGATACTTGTGATCCATCTGTGAAGACTGTGAGCAGTCTTGTGGAACTGAGCCCTTGAACTTGTGGAGCCTGGAGACAGAGTTAGTGTCTGAATTGAATTGAATTGAATTGAATTGAATTGAATTGAATTGAATTGAGTTGAGTTGAATTGAGTTGAGTTGAGTTGAGTTGAGTTGTAGGACTTGCATTTGGTTTTGGAGAGTTAGAGTAGTGTCGAAAAAGATACCTTGTGTTTGTTGGGGAGGAAAATAAACTAATAGGTAGACATAAGATGAGTATTCAGATGTCTTTGCACATTACTTCACAAAAGATTAAGAGTCGGTTTCCTAACAAAAAGTGGGGAGAGAGGCACCCACCAAGGCCTTGGCTGCTGCTGTGCTCCAGGTGTTTAGACGGCCCAGAGGCCAGATCTCCCCAAATATAAGGAGATAACAGAGGTTAACTCTTTGTCAACTCTGTTCCTCTTTCTCTTGGTCTCAATTTTCTTTTTAATTCCTGTGATTAGAGGCAAGTTTGAGGAACACATTACATGATTTGGGGGGATTTGCTGGGATTTAGTGGGTGATTAGGATGCAGAGGAAGAAGGTATAGGGGGGTGATAAGGGGCTTTAAGGAAGGAGGGATAATAATCATTTGTAAATAGTTTAAGTGCTGTAACATAAACCTTGTTTGTTATCACTATCTACCCACCACCCCAATCTTGAAAGTCTGCTCAGCCCAAGGTTGGAGTTGCTTTGGAAGTTGAAGGAAAAGGGGCTGCATTTTGCATGTATGTGGGCAAAGGATAGAGAAAACAGAACACTGGAGATCAGGCTTCTGCACATCCTTTGCCACCACTCTGTTTTTTCATCCCCTTTCCCTGCAGGGGAATATATGACTGCCACCAGATTTGAGCATCTCAAAGGACCTCAGTAGTAGGTTTCTACTCCAGCTACAACCATCTGGTTTCTACTTCCCCCATGCCACCCGCCACTTCTGCCTAGAGACAATTTCAACAAATGAAAAAACAAAAAACCCTGCAACACAATTGTACCGCCATGTTGCTATGTCATATTTCATGCAGTAGGTGGAGGGAGGAGGAAAATGGGTCAAACTCTGTGCCACATCTGAAGGACTACAGATTTGGAAACCTACAGGGGGATTAAGCAGAAACTGTCATTTGAAGGTGCAACCCAAGCCATTTTCCTGAGAATGGAGAAATATAGCATTCATCCCAGAGCTGTCTCTCCCAGGGACAAATGCTGTAATCAGAATAGCAGCAGGCAGGCTTAGTTCCCTCACCTTCCCCCACATTCAAAACAGCATGCATTTACATTCCTGGGGCTGTCTCACTGCCAGACAGAAGGATAGATGCAGTTGGAAATTCCAGCAAGGGCATGTTTTCTGGTTTATCCAGACCACATTTTTGCACAGCTCCATTAGTGGGTCCTCCATATATTTATGGCTTTGACCCAAGTCACATCCTAAATTCACTCCAATATAAGATTCACCGTAAGGTTTGTGTTTTTTTTAATGGCAATTTTAGGGAATTCATTTTGGTTTGGAATTAATTCTAAGCCAACAAACACTAGTTTTGAGTGAATCTCAGCAACTTGGTAAGTTTTTTCAAATCGGTGTTGTAAGAAGCCACAGTGGGACCCAGAGATGCCCATCTCAATCTGGACTGGCCTCTCATGAAAGAAGAAGATGGGAGGGAGGTTTTTTCTTGGAGTAAAGCTCAAGGAGGGGCAAAAATGAAAAAGGACCTTAACCTGTGTGAGTCTGGGATAGAGGCAAAGAAAAATACATTAAGATGCCGAGTTCTGAGACATTGGGGAGATCGGAAGGGAATAATCAGGTTATTTTCTGTTAGCGTCAAGAGAGATTAAGTTATTGTGAAGAATTTAGTGAATAAACTATCTAACAAATGGTTTATTTACGCTAAAAACAGGCAGAAGTACAAATACATCAGGAACACTTGTTTGTTAATTTACAAATAGTTTTGAGTGTTTTTGTTAGTGCAATTCTGGGGTTTGTTGGTCTTAGAGCTTATATAATTTGGGGCCCCTTCTTTAAAAAAAAGTACCAGATGGTCTCAGATGGAGCCTGTGCAAGGGGGGTTCCCCGAACTTTAGGCTTTCTTACCTTGTATTTGGTGTCTATTATACGCACTGTGGGCATCTGGCGTTTTACCTCCTTTGTTTTTATTCTTCCTTTTCTGATGATAGCACTTTACATTTCCTTTGAGAAATCAGTCTTCTCTTACCTGCTGTCACATGGCTCATGGGTGGACATATGACTCAGACATGGCCGATAAAATTATTACATTCTAGTTGCCACAGTGATTGGTTTAATACTATAAAAATCTAAGTTGAACCAATAAATTTTAGGCCTTGGATCTTTTCTTTTCTGGAACTATTAGGCTGAAACATATGAAATTGCCATTACTCAACAATTTTTGACTTATGCAGTTTTATATATTCCAGGCTAATCTTAAGAGTTTCCAGTTTTCTACAGTGATAAAATCAAAGCCTGGAGTTTTGGGGAGCTGCCTTTGCTACTCATTGTCAATAGACTGCCTGAGAGCCAACCCACAGGACATCAGAATGAAGGGATTGAGAAAGACTGGTTATTTTTTAAATTTTATTTTTATTGACATTCAGCATTATATTAATTTCAGGTGCACAACATAGTGATTTGATATTTGTATATATTGCAAAATGATCACTCCACTAAGTCTAACATCTGTCATCATGCATAGTGACAGATCTTTTTTCTTGTGATGAGAACTCTGAAGATTTATTCTCTTAGCAACTTACAAATATGCCAGGCCGTATTATTAACTGTCATTGTCATGCTGTGCATCGCATCCCCACGACTTCCTTATTTTATAACTCAAAGTTGGCACCTTTTGGCTTTCTTCACCTGTTTCACACTACCCTCATCCCTGCCCCTCCTACAGCAATCACCAATCTGTTTTCTGGATCTATGAACTTAGTTTTTTCTTTTATAGTCCACATATGAGATCACACAGTGTTTCTTTCTCTGACTTATTTCACTTTGCATAATGCCCTGAAGTTCCATTCATGTTGTTGCAAATGGCAAGATTTCATTCTTATGAAAATATCTATTCAGATCCTCTGTCCATTTTTAATTGGATTGTTTTTTTTTTTTTGCTATTGAGTCATATGAGTTCTTCATATATTTTGAACTTTTACCTTTTATTAGATATACAACTTGTATTTTTTCCTATTCTGTAGGTTGCCTTTTTATTTTGTTGATGGTTCCCTTTGCTGTACAGAAGCTTTTTAGTTTATCATCCCACTTTTTTATTTTTTGTTTTATTGCTTTTTGCTTTTGGTGTCAGATTCAACAAAATCATCATCAAGATCAGTGTCGAAGAGCTTAGTGTCTATGTTTTTTTCTAGGAGTTCATGGTTCCAGGTCTTATATTCAAGTCTTTAATTCATTTTTTAAAAACATCCTTACCAAAGGATATGATTACTGATTTGAGAGAGAGAGAAAGTGGGGGAGAGACAGACAGACAGACATAGATTGTTTGCCTCCTGTATATGTCCT